GCGAGCGGGAGGAGGGAGTTGTTCGGAGTCCGACACCGGCGAACCGGCGAACCGGGGAAAGGAAGCGCTTGGCGTCAACCGTTGATGTTTTTGGGTCCGTTTAGAACCCCAATTTTGTGGGATTTTGGGACTCCAGCTGAAAGGTGTCGAAAGCGAGATGTTATTTGTTTGACTCGGTTTGGGTGGTTTTGGTGGACCGATGAGCTGATTTGGGTCCGCCGGACACGGTGTTTTCCACACATACCAAGTGAAAAACAGTGGGCGGGGGTTAAAGACGTACGCAGTGTCTGAAACTCTAGACGTTGTCCCCGGGACGTTGTCCGAAACTAGATTTGTAGGACGTTGTCCTTTGCAGCTTTTGCCCTCCTGCATTCTGATTCTTGTGTCACGCATGACTCACATGCTCACAAGCCTTCGTGCCTTCGTTTCCTCCATTTGCTCGAGCCGAATTCTGTTCATTCGACCCCAGAAGAGCCCAAACAATGCAAGAAACCTTGAAACGAGCTGCTCGACATCCTCTTGTCCTTCGAACGCTTTTTCAATTTGCTCTCTTCCATGATTCGTTCGCCATACCAAATCAGCACCAGACACCGAGCCCACGTCCGCCAGGACTCCACGTCCACGGCCCCCGTCACCGGACGCAACGTCATACTGAGCATTTGAGCGAGGCGAGTCGATCTGTTCAGTTGAGGGATGGATGTCGTCTTTGGCGCAGAGTCGCGAGCGAGTCGCGAGTCGCCACATCGGTCGATTGATGGGTCCTGGGTCGAGTTGGCGCCGGTAGGTCGCCATAATATCATATTGTGGTGCCACAGAATCAAAGGACACCGACATCTAGATTCGTTCCAAATGAAGTAGCAAGACGTCGTTGTTTTTTGGACCAGGCGTTTGGCCCCTGTCGCACCGCAAAGAGAGGCAGCAGTGCACTACGGCGCGGTCTTCGGTTGTTCAAACGCTGCCAGAGCTTCAGCAGAAGTGGCCGCAGTTGAAGTGCAAGGGCTGGTGGATTTTAAACAGAATATGAGAATGACCCTCAGCCAATCTTCACTGAGATGGCCAACAGCACGGGCAGAGGCAGTGGTGACGGGGATCAATGAAGACTGGCCTTGAAGTGAAGCACATTTTTGTCACGAGCAGTCTCGAGGCAAGCGCCCTCGCAGGCTTTCCATATTTTATGAAAGTATGTTCCCGTTCCCAAATTCAGCCTGGAGGCTGCAACATACTCCACTCTGTGTCGAGCATCTGTGTGACATGGAAAGAGATGGTTTGGTTCCAATTTCCAACAGATTGGGTTGTAAGATTCTAATGAGAAGCAGCAAATCATGCAGATTGCACTTTCCATATGTGTATCATGCCATACTTGTAACCGCTCCAAATTCATCAACTTCAGATTGGGTCCCAGGCCGAGAGTGCCCTAAAAGCACTCCAGCTTCCACCATGTGTGGAGTATAGACTGTAGAGCAACTTGCTTCGTTGCTTTCCAAGCAGTGTGCAGTGTATCTGTTGCATGACCAGCACAAAGATGTGTATAGTTGTAGCTGCTTTGCTTGGTTGTTAGTTGGCCATTGATGCTGGGCCTGGTCACAAGCAATTCACGCCTTCGACTCACGATGCGAGGGGGGAAAGAGAAGAGGAGACAGGGCGGAGACAGTGCGTGTGGCACTTGGTCTTGGTCTTGGTCTGTTGAGACATCAAGTGATGCTGACCATCTGCAGATCGCCGGTGACTCCGTTGAACTCCGTGGGCCGATCGGTGTCTCAGGCCGAAGATGAAGACGGAGGTCTGGTCGAAGACGCGCTGACGACCTGAAAAACCGGACGTGTGAATAAACAAGGAAGCCGGCCAGATCTCGCAGGTGCGTCGGCATGGTGACATGGTTCAGACTATTGTTCAGACGTAGCTTCTTGTTCGTAAGAATGCTCCGGACTCGAGTCGCGATGCCAGTTTCGCCCCGTTCGTAGTGTCCTTGCTCCTAGTAGTAAGGCCAGGAGCCCCGTTCGTAGCTTCTTGTTCCTAGTAGGGTAGGTTTGTTAGGATCCTAACACAGGAAACGCGAAAGCACTCTGCAACGCTCTTTGTAGTCTTTGACTTCGCTACTGGAGAAAGGAGGTGGTGGGTGATCATTCTTGTGATGCCTCTGTGGGGTCAGTATGCAACCGTTATGTAACCCATAGTTGACGAAATTTATTCTGGGTCTGGGTTTAGAATATCTTCATGCATTTTGACATATGACCCACATCATGATGGGTTAAGGTGAAGGAACACCCGAAGCTACAGTCAGTAGGTATATAATCATGTTCGGCAAAACCATTAGTGTTTTTTGGGGAATGGGCTGTGCCGTGCTGAAGCTGGCTAGTCTCGTCACATCAAAATTGGACATGGAGTTGTTTTGGAAGCAATGCCTTGCAGTCTATTGGGGCATCGGGAACAGGCGTGCGATTTTGGGTGGCTCAAGCTGTTTGAATTAGTGCAGGTCATGCTATGCTTCAAAATAGCGACGGAATGATTCACATGCCGTTCCAGATGCTGTACAACAGTTTGCAGAATAAGGTTTCCAGATGCGCTTCCGGTAGCAACTGCATTACAAAGCCAGCCCACAAGCCAATATTGTAGTTAAATGGGAATTGCTTAAAACATTGGTGTTTGTGCAAACATTTTCTGGAAATGCACATTTTCTCAACGACAGAGAGGGGGTTCAGGCACCTATGGTTTTGGATGTTGTGTTTAGACCAGAGCTATACAAAACTTCTTCTGCACGATTTCTGTACAAAGACATGGCCGTGCCCATCGTGCTGCACTTGCTGCTGCTGTGGCAGGCCCAAAACCTGGCCCCCAAACAACCCCAACCCTGTGGCAGATTGAGAACACGTGACTGATGGGGGTAGTTGATTGAACATCAGGACTCTCAATCAAACGTTTTACCATCAGGCACTCTTGTTCTCAAGTAGAACAAATGTACTGTATAGATGGAACGTGTGAACGACGGTGGGAGCACGGTTGGGTTCCACGTGTGAACGACGTGGGAGCACCTTGTCCCTCCGGCTGCAGAGGCCCACGCGCAGACTGCGGCTAATCAGAATAATCAAAACTTCCAGCCGTTCGGACACCCAGCAGAGATCTCGGCGAAACGAGCGTGCCGCAGCGCCGCAGCGTGCCTGCCTTTCTGTGAGAAAACAGGTTTATTCCTCTAATTTTTTGTTCACCTATCCACTGTGTAGAACTGTATTTTTTATCTATATTATCCTGTTGCGTGTTGTTCCCTGCGACGTGACAACACTGACTCTATTGGTACAGCCACTGTCCCTGCTGAAGCTTGGGAAACCAACTGAAGCGGCCACTGTCGAGTCTCATCCAGACTGGACTCCAAGGCCGGGCTTCCAGAATCGCTACTACCAGGTCTACCGGGGCTTATGAAGCTGAAGGGGTTTCGGCCGGGACAGCTGAAGGGGGGTTCTTGACTCGGCGTTCGAAAGGGTTTCCTAAAGCAGGCCAGTAATCAGGCAGTCGCGTGATTTATCGGCCCCTTGAATTGGATCCTCTTACTCTTATCTGTTGGTTCGGTTTCAACCTTTTTCGGGAGTACGATCCTGCCGCAAGAAGCGGTTTCTACTTTTTTGGTGGTGGTGGTGGTGGTGGTGATTTGCAGGCTTGTTTCATTTTTCAGGGCAGAGACTTGGCTAAACGAACTGCCTCTCTTTAAGTAGTTAGAAACTCGCAGGTCTCTTCTGAACAGCAATTTGTAGCGCCGGCCGCCGGCGGCCGCCAGCGGCCCCGGGCGATTGGCCGGTTTTTTTCAGGCGAGTGGATACCAGGGCTCGCGTGTCTTAGAGCACAACCAGACGAACCCGCCTCGCTTCAACCAGTATGTGGAGGCAAGTGACCGGCGACTTTACCAGAGAAAAGGAAAGGACAAAAACCCGATTGTTCTTAACTTGCTCTCTTTTTTTTCCTCGTCATTTTCTTCTGTGTCTAAAGTTGCTAGTTGGTCCATCGTCATTTTCTTCGAGCGTTTCCCACATCGATCGGACCAAGATGCAGAGCGGCGTTTCATGTACCAAACGCGGCGTTCCAGATGGATATGGATATGAAAAACACATTGATCTCCTCCCTTTCAGACATGTAGAACGTTGGGTTGATGGCAGCCAGAAGAAAAGCCGCCATCAACTGAGACTTCAGTGAGACCTATTTTCTTCAAAGCTCCTCTCACGATGATGTGACACGACAGAAACGGGTGTTTAAGTTGGCTGCTCATTGCATGACTTCAGGCCCTAGCAGCTTCCTTTACAAATCGGAGACTGCAGCGACCAAACTGTTTCAACGCAGCTCTTCAGACGCCCAACTTGGCTGCGACCCTTGACACTTGAGGACACGCCAAGTCCCTCGCTCACACCGGTGCCATCGCACCTTCCTTCGCACCGTCCGTGCCATCGGCTGTCGTACTGCGCGCGCCGTGCCACCACTCGACCGAACCCCGACGGCCCCGACGGCCAAACAAGGTGCCACTCGGTCATGACCCCCTTGGTGGACATGCAGGGTGAGGACATGCAGCACTCAGCCGTTTTGGCTGCTGGATCAGTGAAAAGTAAGGGCTACTCCGCTACCGCCAGGTGCTTTGGCCCGCCCAGACTGTGGTGGACGAGACCGGGCAGTGTGCTGGCCCAGCGGCCACAGAGTGTTGTCCGGCGGCTTTACCGGTTCCGGTTCCGGTTCCGGTTGGCCGAGTGGTTTTCCACGAATGAAAAGACAACGCCCAGCAAACAGGGTGGAAGAGGTCCAAATTCGTGGTGACTTGTGAGTTGCTGACTGGAGGGATATAGAGAGAGAGAGAGAGAGAGAGCGCTCTGAATGTTCTTGAAAAGGCTGCATTCGTTTTGTGGGGGTGTTACGGATGGAATTGTGCAGTTGAGTGGCAAACATGTTCAGCTCGGCTCTCTAACTCCCCAACGAACTTCACTGATTCGGTTTTTGCTTTTTCCATTTTTATTTTTTCTGGCTGGAGGAACTCTTTCACAACTGCAGATTCGGAAATTCAAACGCATGGTCTACAGTTGTGGCGTTTTGCTGTGGATTCAACTATAATACTATCTTAGTACTTCTCGGAGATGTCAATTACATGATTCGTTTGGTCGATGGGGATCTCGACCAAACCCATTCCCGACCATTCCCATTCCTACGACTGGGCTTGCACCAACAATTGTGAGGATCTGGATAGTGGACGCCCGATACCATCAGGCTGGATGTCGGTTTCGGGGCTCTTAGTACACTCTCTGAAATAGTCATGGAAGTGGAAAACCACCATTGTAGAGGAAAATTGTCATCCAAGAGGCCATGCCATCTACTACTACTTCACACAGTGTATACATGCGATGGTACTTTTTGGGTCTGTCGGGCTGCTTAGGATGTACAGTCCTCAGAAAAGGGGTCGGTCCATGTTCTATGACAAAAATTGACGAACCAAACAAAGGGGATGCTACATTCCTTTCACCTCAAGCAAATGCTACACTCCTGTGGGCCAACCTCAGAAAGGACTCCGAGGTGTGGCTCAGGGTGGTGTCGGAGGGTGGTGTTGGACACGGAGACGGGGGGACGGGGGATTCGTGGTTACGCTCCGATGGTCGGTTGACTGTGAAGGGAACGCTTCGATTAATAACTAAGTCAGAGAAGTGGAGAAGAAAGCAACATCAATGGCCGCGTTCGGAATGCGCAAGCAAGCTTGCATGGCGAGCGATGGCTTTCAAAGCTAGAGTGTTTCGCCACAGCAATCAGCATCATGTGGGTTGCTGCTCAGAACATTCGTTGGAGATCTATATTTTTTGCTGGGAATCCCACCACTGGGACCCTACGCATGGTTCATGGACACCCAGACCCACCTCTAAGGAGCTATTAATGGACCCGGCTAAGAACCCCTGGCCCCCGAACCAGGTGCTCCTCATGAAGACGACCAGCCGCTATGTGAGCTGGCCGGCCTTCTACACGGAGTATGCGGGTACCCGCGGCCTCTCCGGCTATGTGGATGGAAGTCGCCTCAAGGTCGGAGCACAGCACCGAAGGGTATAGCACCGAAGGGGAGCGCCAAGGGGTCACCGGCGACGGACGGGTGGGACAGATTCAAACAGAAAGGAGATGGCCCGAAATTTGGGTCCGGAATTGGCTTGGCTCCGACTTGACCTCCAACATCCAACAACTCTCCATTCCAAACGAAAAAGTCATCCCTTCCACTACTTTTGACGCCCCACCTACACCCGCACACCCCCTGCCAGGCTCGCTTCAACGCGCCCTCCGGCTTGGTCATTAGCACCGACCCTCGCCGGGCGCGGGGGGGTTCCGCGCCCGCGCGTCGCCCTGCGGGGTGGGGAGGAATGAAAGCAGGGCTCTTTGTTGACAGTTGACCGCAATCTACTGGAGCAACACAAGGAATATTCTAAAAAGGATGGTCCAAAGGACTGGCCCCGTCCAAAGCGGCCTTGTCATGAGATTGCAAAACACTCCTGGTTTCAAGGCCATGATGGGGGAGCCCCTTCTGAAGGGTACGAGTACGAGCTAGGCTTGACTTGATCTGTTGGGACTTCAGACTTGGGTTCTTAATCTCTGTGATTGATTCACTTGCAACAGGCCGGTTTGCACATGTCCCCATGCTTGCTTGCAGCTACGGTGAGACAATGGAGGAGTCCAAGGCTTCAATTTTGAAGTCCGGGCATCTGAATAGACTGGGCATATAATATAAAGATTGGACGCAATCTTTCTTGAACAATCAGCCGCCACTGTGACTTTTGGGGTGTGATCCGGCAAATCATGGATCGCGCGAGCCAATAGGTAGCTTCCCTTTCGTGAGAGTTTCAGATGGGGTGAAGTGGTAAGATGCAGCTTAGTCTCTCACAATGACTCCCACGTCGGAATGACATAGTGGTCAGTGGCAGGGGATTCATTTGTCGGATCTTTTTGCATGCTTGGTAGTATAATGTAGACATATGTAGACTCTTGATTCATCAAGCACCCAATTGAAATGGAACATCCTCTTCATATGGGGGGGTCTATGGTCCTCAAGAGTCTACATGATGTCATTCGTCGGTTCCTCGGCTTGGTCGTCCGCGCCTCCGACCCATCCGACCTCCGGCCAGCCTCGGCGGATCTACATCGCCGACAGTGGGGAGCTGAGCCGGAGGTGGAAGACCTCACGGAAGCTAAGCATCGGCTGACGCTGAGTGAGCCATGGAAGGCTCGAAAAGTGAGCTTCCAAGAAGTCGGTCTTAAGCATTATTAGACCTTTGAGATTCTGTGCTGAAGCTGGTCCTGGTGGTCCTCCTTTATCCTCACAGGTGGTTCGTTTGGAGTTCCTTCCGGTTCATTCGAGCTTTCGCCGTGCGGGCGCTTCCTCCTGGCAAAGCCACACAAAAGGGGGGCGGCTTAGGAGCCTGCTCAGGACGAAAGACCCAGCAACATGTCGCCAAGCTTCTCGCCAAGTCGCCGTCTTCGTCTTCGCCGCCAGTCATGGGTTGCACCGAAGAGTGAAGCCATTCAAAGACTGTTTTGATGAGAATGATGGGCCCAGCTTCCGTTGGGCTTCAGAACGCACATGTCCCCACTTCTGCGGGGTAGAATCAACAACAGTCTGACCACAGTCTGACCCGCCTGTGTCTAGAATCCATGGTAAAGACATGGTAAAACCTTCATGGTAGAATCAATTCCACAGACTGCCCCTCACAACCACCAGACTTTGGGTGGAGTGTGCATAGTGGCCCCGCTGGCCGTTGAGGTGGCAATCACTGCATCCGCGTCGTGGCCTACGAGTCGGGGCGCATTGCTACGGTGGCAGGTGCCGTGGGGGGGGAAGACTTTTGGTTATTTGGTTTCCTGCAAAAAGGAGGTCAAAACATACCATACCAGGACCAGGACCGACCATCTGGGTGTCCTGGCTGGACTAACCCCACACTACCAAAGGCTTCCAGACAGGGCACCCCAACTATTACTTATGGTCCAGGATGGGCTTACTTATTGAACAGTCATCCCTGGACATCTGATAGGCATTGTTTTTCCAGTCATCCCAGGATGGTCATCATTAGGCATCCCGAAGTTGATTGAAGTGATTCTCCAAGAAGTTCTTGAACTCCGACAGACATCCCGCAGAGATCCTCCTACTCTGAACAGTCATCCGACAGACATCACGCTGTTCAGGCTCGCCGGTCACCAAGGGCTGGCGCGATGGGCCCGGGCAAGAGGCCAAGTTCGAGCAGCCCAGCAGCCTGGGCATGGACCCTGAAGGCAGACGGGAGATGCATAGAGATGGGAGAGATGCTTGGAGGTTGGGTGATTCAAAACGAATTTGCTGGTGGGACAGCTGGTGTAGATGTTGAGCTGTGGGTTTGGGTCTGGCTGGGGCGGTGATTGTGCTTATTTGGTACCAACTATATGATGGTCTGTGTGTCTCAGAGACTTCTTGGTTGTTTCGATAAGGGATAGGTACGACATGTATCCACATGTTGATTTCTGTTACATGCTTGGAAAGCCCCAGCACCACTTGTTGGCAACAGAACCAATGCAATTACAACATCACTGGACAAAGAATTGGGCACACGCCAGTCGTTTTCGCATGTTTTCGCTCAAGTGCACAATAGAGAAATCGCGGACATCGCCTCCTAAGCTTTTGATCACATCCATCATACGTGTTGCCACCTGCGTCATGCGACCTTGGCACGGCCCAAAAAATCCCTCGGTGACAGTCTTTTCAGGTTGAACATGGTGAAACTGGAGTCTCCCTAGATTGAGCCCCCCAACAAACACTCCGAGTGGGCAGGCCTACATCTCTTTGTCCTGGACAACTTCCGAAGGCGTGGCGCCGGCTTGCGCAGTGGCGACAGAAGTGCACCGGTATTGGTGATGGACTGGATTGGGTGAACCGGACTTGTTTGGAGAGGTTTTGTTTGATTTCAGGAAACACCTCTTTCACCCATGAAAAGCACCGCAGAACACGTTGGTCACCTGAATCGGTGAAATCCATGTTGGTATGAATGGTATGAATGAAACACGTCTTTTGCCTGATCTGAACATATCTGAACCACCCCTGCATCGGCCGAAGCCATGAACATGGGTATTGCTTTGCCAACGCCGGGCTTTCCACCGAGGACTTCGGCGAGACGCGAGTCTTCGGGGTTCCGGGCCGGACTCTGGGGTTGTGCGGCAGCGAATTCGAAGCCTGTGAAGGATCAGATATATCCAACTCTACTTGAAGAAGAAGACCGTGCGGGCTCTCAGATGGTCGAACTCGTGATGAGTTGGTACCAAGCGAGGTCCGGTCACCTGGAGCCTTTGTGACGAACGAAGATACGTTTATGAAGAAGAACGAACATCCGTACACTCGCATTGACTAACACCAAGTAACACATTGTTTCTAGCTAGGCAGAGGAAGGCCTCACCAAAGCCTGAGCAGGGGTCGGTCCAAAAACAGACTGTCCTCTGATGAGCATACCATACCTACATCTTAGAAACCCCTCTTCACACATGGTGGAAAATTCTATCTCACAGAGCCATTGAATTCTTTGACGCTTCCCAACCACCAAAACCCAGAACACCACTGGTTTTCTTTTGGGGATCGACTTGGCCATCGGACTAGGTCTGATTTGGAAGGGAAGGTTCATCTCCGCGACAGATCTTCTCCCAAGCCGTGGTGCAGGTTTGCTGTTCCTTTTGATGTTGGGTGTAGACGTGTTTCAACCGAAAAGCCTTCCAGGGAAAAAGACCTCGGAGAGGGATCCAACGTGGGCCAGCAGGACGGTGGCCAACCTCGTTCGGAGACTCGATCCGGGTTCGTCGTGGTTGGATTCCCCAAGCAGTTTTACTGTTGGGGTTCTCTGCAAAGGGGCCTGGTATCAATCGATTTCTTCTCCGAACCTTGACACTCCACGACTACCGGAGGTCTCCACCTTAGTGGGAGGCGCCTGCCGCGCAGTGGCACGTTGGACTGCAGGGAGACCCGGCTCCGGAGGGATGGAGAGATGGAGCGAGGCCGTGCATTCGCGCCCTCCGAAAAGGTGGATGGACAGCATCCAGACTTCACCTAAGCTGCGTTATGCTGCCAGGGTTGACCGATTTGATCAAGACAAGTCATAAGCAAAACTCGACTTCAACACACCCCATGAGCTGAGCCACACTGCCCCCAGCCGCACCAAAAACCTGCCGTGAACCGCACCGTTTCCGACGAACCGCCATGGACGTGCGCGCGGACGTGCGAGGTTTATGAGTCGATCGTGCAACGGCGCGTGGGTTGCCATCCCGTGGCTTGGGCGATTGTGGGCGGTGTGGGTGGGCACGTGAGGCAAGGGCTGATGAGGACGGAGATGTTGCGGAGGTTTCGTTGGGCTGTTTACATAGGACTCGTGGGCATGTGCATGGATATAGCGTTTCCCATGTAGGAAATCTTGTTCAATTGTCTGATCAAAACGGTGTTTCGATTCACCTTCGCGCTTGGTTGAAGATCCTGACACTTTGCGGGAATGGACCTTTGCGGGAACATCATCTACGATGGACCCTTGAAGTGAACCCTCTCTGGCTCCTTTGATGTGCGACAAAGACGCCTCCTCTGGGCCGTGTGGGGGGGGGGGCAAGATCACTGATTCGATTGTCGGGACGAGCGTTGAATCACCAATCGAAGCCGCTGACGCTACAGCACTACTCACTACGCTTCATGAAATCATGGGCCAATGTGGATGGAATTGGATGGGATAATGGTCCCGGTTTGACTCAGAGGAGCATGGAATCAATCCGAAGACCAAACAGGTGGCGCCATCAACCCAAGACCATGATGATTTCAGGGAGGATATTGGGTCAGGTGGTATCTATACTCACAGGCCCTTAAATGTTGTTGGGAGCTCAGAAGACTGATGATTCATGAGTTTCACCATCTGCAGTCAACTGGTTTCACAACGCTGGCTTCCGCAGTTCCTCAACTGGGTTCTTTCGACGCTCCGCTCGGGAACCTGGGAACCGGCACCGTCGCAGTCGGAGCAGGTCCTCGGGCTGTGGGATCGCCAATCCGATGCAGATCACGTACGTCCAACTGATGGAAGTCTGTGACAAGATGAACACCTGTAGCCTGTAGTACTGTACAGTCCCAGATATACAGTCGCCTTGATTTACAACATTTTACAACTATATAGATCGAGCAGTTGAAGAGACAAACGGCGAAGAGTAGAACCCCTTTCTGGAGAAACACTCCAACTTTCAACAAGATACCTCGTTTTCGCGAGACAGCGGACTCGAACGCATGCAACCAACGAACCGCTGAACAGCAACCAGAAACGCCCCGCCCGGTCGCAACGAACGAAGAGCCCGGTTCCTGCGTCGTGCCTTCGGTCTCCGTTTCGCCCGCCCAGGACTGGTCTGCCACCCTGGCGGGGGAGCAGGTGCCCAGACACCTCGTCCGTCTCCGTCGCGGCGGGACCACTGGTGCTTTCGGACCGCGTTCCACGGACCGATGGGTTTCGGAAGGGGGGGATTGGTGTGGTACCACGTGGGTCCACCCAGCGAGGGATGGAACCATCCATCGCTTTGACCCATCACTCCATGGGACTCTAGGACTGGAAGATGGAACGAGACATGCGGGGTGGTTGGTTGACCCGGGGGTGAAAGTCTAGGCAGGTAAACAATGGTAAACATGTCTAATTAATATGGTACCATGGAGTCATGGAGTGTTTGATTCTTTTTAGCCCAAACTGACCACGTGGGTTAAACGGGGGGGAATACAAGTTTTTTTGAGCGGCCGTCACGTAGCTGCTCTCGAAAAGAAGGCACTGCCAGGCCCGGATCGCTGGTTTCTGGATTGAAGTTTGACTTGAAGTTGCATGCAGGCTTTCAGGTAGCAAGGGATAGATTCCGAAACCTAGCAGCCTGCTTTCGAGGAGTAAACATCACTTGAAGTCTTGAAGTCGCTCTTTAAAAGCAGCCATTCATTTGGCAGGACACCACCCTTACACATCCTCAACCCTGCCACTTCTTTCCGTCCACTTCTTTTGGGTCAGGTGGACGTCTATGTCTCAGGCGCCGCGTCAAGCGGGGCACAGACAGAAGGGAACACACGACGGCGCTGGGTCGCCTTCTGGGTTGTTTCGGAAGAGGTTGATGTTGGGGAAGGATCCTGTGGAGTATCATGGAGTTTTTTTTTCATGAAAAAAACGGTGTTCTTTTGGTCCTGGATGCATCTATTTAGTTCTTTTTTGGCGTTTGCGTAAATGCATGGACAATGAAAATAGGAAAAAGGCACGAGAGAGATCACCGTTTGCTTGCTCAATCGCATGTGGAGCAACCTCCGGCGGGTACTTCCACTCGATGCTCTTGAAGGATGCTTGAGTGCAGCCACAAGGCGTTCATCACACCTACCAATGTTTTGAAGGTGTCTTGTTACGGACAGGCTTTCCTTCCCCCTCTGTTGCATGGGTTCACTGTGTGGCATCAGTGGACGTTTCTCTAACATAGCTTGGAGAAGGCAAACTGGCCATGTATAGCGAGCATCTTGCATCATGGTGCAACTGAAACTATCTCATCATTCGCTACCAACTTCCAACATGTCCAGTCGTTTTTCGAAACCACCCTCGCAGATCGTCTTTAACCCCTTAAGGTTATTTGTGGGATACCAAGCATGCAATCTGTCCCAGACACTCCATGGGACTGCCATAGGACTGCCGCCCCATTGACCCCCCTGGCACCACCCCTGGCCTGATCGGCAGTCCTATGGCAGTCCCATGGGTCGTGTCTGGGTGTGGGAATGTCCAACAAAACCAATTGATTTCCGACTGGTTCCCGCGACATGCGGAACCGAACCCACGCGGGGGAACATGGTCTAGAAAGAAAAGGGAGGGACATCCTGGCGAAGCAACTTCCAACCGGCAGGAGAACTGGTGCAAAAAAGCTGGTGCGGTCGGTGCATTCCCCCAAGCACTCTGAAACTGGTGGCCGCCCAAAAAGACCCTTCAGTGACCCGTGGGGCCACGCGGGCCAGGCGGGTAGCTCGGGTAGCTCGTGGACGTTGCACCTAGACGGCATGTCTGTCCGTCCAGGCGAAGGGATCTTCAAGTGCACTGGCCATCAGGCAGGTTGGGTCGCTACATGTGATGCACAGGGGTAGTAGGCGCGGCAGGAGAGTCATTCACATGTAGATGGCGAAGGGGTTCATTGAACAAGAGAAGGGTCTCTGTGGATGGAAGAGGATGTAAAGGGGTCTTGCTGATGGATACACCATGAAAATCACCAGCTATTTCCTCCATCGCAGTCCGTTCAGCGCTTCAAATGAATCTTAGTCCACCGTAGTCCATCTAGAACCGACCAATTTTCATCACCTGCTTGTTTTGCTGCATTTAAAAAAAAACGACACACACCTGTGAGTGCCACCGCCACTTCCAAGCCGGAACATCCAGACTTCCCTTCCCATCACCGAAACGCTCAGGCCACCTGTGCGCCGCGGAACCACCCGGCCCTCGCGGATCGGGTCTCCACCCAGTTGCTGTCCAAGGCGGACCGGCTCCACCGTGCGTCCGGTTCGGTCGGTTTCGTCGGTCCTCAACCGGACGCCGGCGGAGGGGGCGGTGAAGACAGGGCCCTGTCGCACAGGGGGTGGACAGGTGAATGGCTTTATTGCTGATCCGTGCGAGGATGACATGCCATTTGCATGGTCTTCTTTGTTGGGAGGTTTGGGGGGAAGAACACTGATGGGGTGGAAAGTGCATCTAAAAAGATATCACGTATAATGAGATTTGGTTTTGTCTATTGATACAGCATCACCATGTGTTTCAACTCGATCCGGAGTCCATTTCGGACCCTGTGGTCCGGGTCCATTCATCCCACCTTGAAGAATCACCGGTGTCCCCAAAGAATCCCTCGGAAGTTCGAACGTCAACATCCGGAAGAACCTGAAACTTTCCTGAACATCGACCCGTCAACATCTGTGAACATCTGTCAACATTTGGGAGCCCTGTAGATAAACATCGAGGAACAAGGTGAACGCCGAAAGACACTTCGACCACTTCGACCACTTCGACTCTCGCGCGCGCGCGGGCGCCTCTTCGTCTTTGTTTTACTGGCACACATCGGTGTGAGGCCTATGCTCAGAGCCTGTTGGAAGGGATTCCACCGGAGGATCCCTACGACATGCCCTTGGTCTTGCCCGGGGTCCCCATGGGCGATCGGATCGAGCCATCGGATCGAGCGGAGTGCGTTCCGGCCGCGAAGCGAAGGACGCGACGTCGCGCTTTGGTCGGTCGCGCGAACGCGCGTGGCGTCGCGAGCGGCGGGGGCTTATGCGGAGTTGGGAAAGGATCGGTTCGGCGTTTCCTTTGCTAAATGTTTCTCCATTTTTGGGCCTATGGATGATATGACACTGCAAGATGAACATGATGAACACAGATGTAAACACTGCGCAAGGCCTCCAACCCAATGGTCGCCGAGGGAGAATGGTACCCAAATCCATCCATCTTCGGATCGCAGCTCGGCGTGCTTTCCGCCGATGACGGATGAAGCCGAGGCCACCTGCAAGCCAATGAGCACCGGGGCGCGAGGCCACCGTGTGAGTCCAGCGAGGGCACGGTGAGGCGTGTTGCGAGGCGAAAGCCGCTGCCGGTCCTTGAAGGATCAGGCGAGAGATCAATGAGGGGCGCGAGCGCGGGGGTTGAGAACTTGCAGAGACCATCGGCGACCTCAGAGAAGAGAGAGAGAGAGAGTGGGTGATAGAGAGGTATAGATAGCTAGATAGATTGATTTAGATAGCTAGATAGATTGATTAGATTAGATTAGATGAGATTAGATTAGATTAGATGAGATGAGATGAAATGAGATGAGATGAGATGAGATGGATAGATAAATAGATAGATAGATGAGATGGTAAAGCCAAGAAGTATCTCTCCAATGCATTCTTAAATGACCACGTAGTTTTCATGTGGTTTTCTCCATTTGACATAGCTCGGTGGCCATGCGGATTGCCATGTTTCATCAATGTCAGAAGTCCTCTCTCCGGAACTTCCAACCCCTGCAGCTGTGTGGTCTTTCGAGCAAAAAAGGGGCGCCGCCATGGTCTCCGCGATGCGCGCGCGTCGACGCTTCAGAGCCTAGGAGGGCCGCCCGAAGGGCCCGAGGTTTGGGCGGTTTGGAGCGGTTGGGAGTTTGGAGCGTCCCCCAAATCCATCGAAGGTTCTCAAGAAACGCCGGAAAGGACGGGTTTAAGCCGAATATGTCAAATGATCTGTATTCAACAATCATGGTGGTGTTCGTTTCCCAGCTGCTTGAAGAGGAAAAACATGGAAAAACGATTCATTGAAGCCTGGTGGAGCTTTTTCCGTGGTTGTCGGAGTCTCGCATTTCTGATTCTTCTTGTTCCGTCTTGGCCGGCCTGGAGGCTACTCTACATTCAACATCCCTATCGGAGACAGAGAAGTCTGTTGAAAAGTGTGAGCTTAGAAAGAGAGTTGCCAGCAACAACTTCCAGACCTTGCTGGAACAAAAACACCCATGCAATGCACCCTGGCTTGATGGGTGCACCCTGGCTTGATGGGTGCACCCTGGCTTGATGGGCGTCCTGCCTGTCAATGATCCGAAAGCCTTCGTTCGTGTACGTCGTCTACGTCGTCCCCCTTCAAGGGGTGTCCTGTCTGGAGATCCTGGATAGTGATGTAGGGGCTTCCATCCTGGTGACCCCTTTGAAGGTGCTGGTACGTAGTCCACTGATCTCTTTTCGTCCCGCAAGCCGAGCGGAGCTTTTCGTCTTTTGGCCCAAGGATGTGCAAGGGTTCATGGTGACAGACCTTCTATTTTGCACAAGGTTTCAAGATGTTCTGAGTGTTTTGCTGATGGCGACAACAGATCCGCACCCATCACACGTGTGTGGCTTACGACCGACACGGTGTTTGTTCGACCAAACAAAATGCGGTGTTTTCTTGTTTTCTGCCGCACGGCACGCACCATGCTGGGTAAAGCACCGACCCGAGTCCGCCGCAACGGATGAGTCTAGCAACGCCCTTCTGGACGGTCCGAAGACCGGGAAGGTCTCTTTTTTGGACGAACACACCCAATGAGTCGGCTGCAGCTGGTGTTGCGATCCTCAACATTCCTCAACGAGCCAGATGAAACACATTCTAATACATTCTCGTTTTGGCCACAGACACCCGATCCACGAAGCCGTAGAAGTTTGCGAAGATCGCCATGAAGGTGTCGACCAAGGTGGGGTGATGGGTCGAAGGGACGTGACGGCGGTGGTTGGCGCTTGGCGGCCGCGGGGTTGGCGCGTCTGGACGCTTTCCATCAAGCAGCCTGTCGCCTCTGCACCCCCCCCCCTTCGTGAAGCGGTCAGCCTGTTTCTGCAGGCAGCCTCAAAGAACCGATGTTCGATGATTTTCGCGTAAAAAGCCAAAGAGCGCTTGTCTATTTGTCTTTTCCAAGGTTTGCGGACTTTTAGAGGGGGAGTTGTTTCTGATGGAAATCCAGCATTCCTTCTTTCGAAGGCCCACACCCACAGTGTTTTTTTCGTGAAGGGTGATAGATAGTCATATTAGGTGCATTTAGTCGCAGGTGCTCAACATGGCCTGCCTTTTGGGTAGGACATGTCTGCTGTCTGCGAGGCTGAAGCATGGTGATAGTCATGGAGTCGACCCCTTTGCACCCCGACCACAGGTCTTCACGACAGGTCTAGCTGTGACACGGATGGTCCAGCTTGAACCGATCCGGTGAAGGGGCTCCCGGTCGAAGGGGGGGGGGCTCGTTGAGCCTTACGTGAGAGGCAGAGCTATGTTGGCAGCTGTCATCTCTGTTGGGCGAGGAGACGCAGGTGGGGGTTGTGGGCGCTGGGCGCTTTGGACCTGGAGTTGTTTGGCTGAGTGGGAGGAGTCTAAAGATGGGTGGTGAGTGCGGAGTGATGTGCCATGTCTAAAGTGTTCATTGCGCAGTCACTCAGGATATCATGGAACTGGTGGTTGCTAAATCGCTTGCCAACTGCAAGAGTGCCACAACCCTGGCCCGAAAATCCCAAGTCACACCGATTTGGATGGATTTGGAAGCTATACTTAGAGACTGACTGGAGGATTGCATGTTGGTTGGATGAACCTTTTGATGTGGTCCTCCAAACAAGTCTGCTTGGCACCTGCTGTGCACTTCCAAGCCGAACTCAGCACCATCACGGGCGATCCAACCCGTTGGCCCTCTGGGCGATCCAACCATTCTGCAGACCTGAGATAGTTCCTACTGAAAAGCACCTCAAACAGAGGAACAGGGTTGCACTTCTACAACAACAGGGTTGCATGCTACATGTTTCCATCAACAACAGCTTGGATACTCTTGGTGTGCGAGCGGACATGTCTGAAGTTCTCTTCACTTGGAAGATATGTGGTCTACGCTTATGTTCGACTCATCCGAAGATCTCTGTCTCCACTCGATTCGAGGCTGCCGAAGTGTTGAAGCAGCTCTCCTTTGAAGAGCTTTTGGAGTTGGTTCAGGAACTGGGAGAGGACCGCTAAGAGCCAATCAAACTGAGACTGGATGGACACGGCCAATCCTCAAGCTATGCCAAGCCATGGTTTAGGGTTCCACTCAGAGAACCATCGATGAACAGGGAAAGCCTCCTTTTCAAAGCTGATGATGGGTTTCCTCAACAAGGACGACGTTGGACCTCGGCAAACGGTTTCACTTGCAGAAGTCCGAGAAGTCCTGGACCTGGTTTTCGTGCTCTGGGGCTCCGACCTCAAACACTCCAATAAAAGAATAACGCATGGGATCGAGAATTCGGGTTTTCCATGCAAAAGGCGGTCCATTTTGAGGCTGGCTTTGATAGGTTTTGATATCCGCCCAGAAGATGGCACAGCGAAGATCCAATGAAGGATCACCGAACAAGGATCGCACTTGCGCAACCGATTTGCTCGATGGAAACCTATGCAACTTGGGAGGAGGTCCCTCAGCTCCGCATATTGACCCGCCATGACAACGACCCGCCATGAACGACCCGCCAGGTTCATACGGTCTGCTGTTTGGGTCCGACAAGGGTGCCGCAAGGTTCTCTTTTCCAGTCAATAGACGTGGAGCAATCACTGTACTGAATTACAGAATCAGTTCTGAAAACTATATAATGGTCCTTCTTTTCATGACTCTACAATATGACCAGGTCAGATCTTGTTCCCATCATTTTCCATCCCATGGCGGCAGGAACCTCAAGACCTCTCAGCCAGCTGGTCCTGCCGGCACTTTTTGCGTCCAAACCGCGCAGAGCTCACGGGTGGTCGTTGGCGCAGGAAGGAGATCCGATCGGACATGGGGTTGTGGCAGGAATTCGTTCATGATTTCAGTCTTGCACACCAAATCACGCCCACTACATCACAAAAATACTATAGAATTAACTAATCTCTGAAAAATGGGATGAACACCCAGCAATCAGCAATCCTTCCAAAAACACATCAAGAACCCCAACCAGACTTGGCGGCCGAACCCACGGCTCCGGCCGCACCCGCTCCGAACGCGCTCCGCTCCGCTAGGTCCGTCCTGAGGTCTCCGTTGGCGGTCCCTCCGTCGTCGGGGAGCGGAGACAGAGTCAACTGGACCTGGTTGGGGAGCGGAGGTGGACCAGGTTGGAGGTCTAGGTGGACTGGTGGAAGAAACCAGGTGGTTTTTGTTGGAGTCACCAGTCCACCAGTCCAAACAGGTGAAGTCCAGGTGGGGTCTTGTCTTTGGCAAACACTGAATTTCCAAACAGGTGGCCAGGTGGGAGGTTTCGGGGCAACCTCTTGGCAACATGGGCGTTTGATTCTTTTGTTGGGGCTGTTGATTCTTCAAAATGCCTGCTTGAGCGGTGCAGTCACTTGCTTGGCGCGAGGAGATTTGTTCCTAGCCGGCAATTTCCATGAGCGATTCGTTCTAGAAGTGCCAGAAGTACTAGTAGCAGGAGGAGGGGCAGTAAAAGTAAGTAGAATCAGAAACAACAGTGATCGTCCAGCGGCAGCTGTTTTTGGTTGTATTCCTTAAAGCTTGGCCTGCTGCTGTGGTCACCCCGCAAAAAAGGGGCGCCGTGCGCCGGGCCCGCATAATGCCAAGTCTCGCGGGCACCTGCCCACTCAGGTGCGGCCCTGACGAGTATGTGAACGTTTGCGCATGGTGTCGGGGATCTCAGCGACGCAGAGGGGAGCACGCGGAGGGAGGGGGTTTGAGCACCATCGAGCGAGCGAGTTCAGCTGTGCGAGAGGAGGGGGGCGTCCTACGGCCTTTTGGGAGGAGAAGCACGTCACGACATGAGGAGCTGACCAAATAGCTATGCATCCAATGAAAGCCACACACTTTTGGGGTCCAACTCCCAAAAGACAGGTTTTTTTTGAGGGCCTGGCCCTTCCGGCTCCTGTTATCTCATGGCTTCGAAAAAAAACATGCATTGGCTGCTTGAACTGCAATGGAGTACCGCGGGATGAGACACGGCAACATCTGGTACTTTGCAGCTTCGGTCGTTGGTCTCGGAACTGAAAGCGAGTGAAGAAGTCTCGTCAACCGCGGGGTGGCGAGAAGTTGAGGCGAGGATATGACTGCTAGTACTGACCAGAAGTTCATTGCTGCAATGACTTGGAGTCTACAGAACTTTATGAAGTCTTTTTGTACTGGGACTGGTAGCACTTGGGTAGGGTATTCTAGTTCTTGAGACCTATCCATGTGGTTCAATGCCGATGTCACTGGGACCGACCAGCCCGTCGTATCCGGTGTCGCTCATCCACCTTACCCGGTCGTATCATGACCTTAAAGTCGATTTCTTGAGGTATGGGGTATGGGCTGGGCATGTGGGCATCCGAAGCCAAAAGATACTTGAAAGAGCTTTGGGTCGAAGTACCATAAAGATCCATAAAGTACCTCTACAGAACTTAAAGAACATCATCAGACCCCTGTTTTCTTTCCTTGCCATCATTTTGGGTGGTGCTGTGCTGCTGCCTGTTGTTGGCCACTCCACTTGGACCTGGGTAGACCTCTGAAGGCAGTGCCTCGCGAGTGCTTCCGCTGGGACAGCTCAGTGGCGTGCGGGATGAGGGTCCTTGTCAAAGAGAAGTCCAGCTTCAGTCCAGTTTTGGCAACGTTTTGGCAAGTGACTGCACAAAACCTGGCAACAAACACTTTCCAACAACTTGCGGTCTTTCATTTTCTTGGCAAGTGTTTGTTGCCCCGGAGATTGGTGGAGTTGGTAGTTCACAGTCGAGCTCGACATGCACACAACGAGCACCACCAAGACAAAGAGCGGGATTTTTGTGTGTCCTCTAGGTGGGGGATGCGCACAGAAGTTCCAGATAAATATATTCTGATATATTCTGATGTTTTCGTCGCACGGCCGATTTGTCAGTCGTAATCATTTGCTTCTTCACGAACCTTTTGAAGGGGTTGTTGCATCTTCCACAAGTTCTCTTTAATCAAATACCATAAATCTTGGAAGAACCCCAAGAATCAGAGAGGTAAAGAAAAGATCAACCACGGTCATTTCGGTGGTTGGTGCCGGTCTTTCCCCACCTTCCGGCTTCGCTGTCCTTCCTCCTCTCCACGTGGCGAAGCTCGCCGCCGGACCCGTCCGGACCGGACGAAGGTTCGACCTGCGCAGCAACTTCGTGTCCGACTCCCAGAAGGGCGGTGGGGGGGAAGGACGGACGAAGGACGGTGCCAGGCTGGGGGAAGGACGGTGCGTGTTGGGGACGAGAGCGTGGCGGACGGATGGAGACTGGGAGGTCCAACAGGATGGATATTGAAGTGATTTTTCAATTGAGATTGGCCAGTTTCAGACATGATAGATGAAATGGATGTGTCGATGGTCATTCGATTTTGTTTGGTCAGTTTCTCATTTACGAGTTGTTCAAGTGTATTATAGTCGTCTATAAATCCAGTTCATTCCTTTTCGATGTAGCGCTTCACCCTTTCAAGGGTTTTGTTCTTCTCGCAGGGGTGACTTATTGAGTACTGCCCCCCCCACCTGTGGCTCTTCCCCAATTATATAAGCCCCTCGGTCCCCTGGACATCATGAGATGGTTGGTGTATGTTTGCGTCACCCCTCTGGAGCAGTACGTACTTCTCCAGTTCGCCCGACCTCCTTTTTTGGAACCTTCTGCATCCTGCCGGCGAAAAAAGGTCTTAAATATGGATTCACTCTGAGTGGATTCACTGACAGTTGCTTTGCTTTTCTGATCAATTCCAGTGGCTCAAGGGTGACCAGGTTTGCCAGGTCGCCCCAGGTGCTGGTGGCCTGCCACTAACGTCCGCGGCTTTGCACCGGGAGCGCCCGCCCACGGGAGAGGGGCCGACTCGGGTCGACCTCGCCGCCTCGGGGCGGCGGAACGTGGGCGGAACGTGGGGCGTGATGTGTGGGTGCCCGAGGTGCGAGGATGCTGGCTTCAGTTGTGCTTCTCAGGTTCGGGGTCCGGGGGAAAAGGGAGAAAAAGGGCTGAAAGGCGGGGCTGAAAGGAAGGCGGGGCGATCTGATTGAAGATGGATTGAACGACATGTCATGCTGAGCTGGTCGAGGTTGCAAGAGGTAGGTATACGGTATACGAATTCTTGAAAGGGTTGGGGCATCCACTGAGTTGACTGACTTGGACCACAGACATAGTCTTAGAGGTCTTTCCGATGTCTTTAGACTGCTGAAAGGCTGTTAGATTCTTTGACATGATATCACCTTTACTTTGAAACAGAAACTGGCCGGAAACCATCGGAAACCGAAAAAGACTGGCCGGAATCTACACATCACCTTTCAGCCAGCCAGATTCTTCTTATAGCTGTTCGGGGGTTGAACAAAACTGACCGGAATCAAGTACACGCGACACGTGAAGAAGTACATACTGACTCGAGATGGTGGGTGGCCTGAATCCACCGTTCAGCAGCGAGGATGAATGATCCAGTTGTTGACTGGGAACTCCATCTAATTTTTTTTTCTCAGTCAGGAGTATGGGCAAAGATCTCTCTAAAGATCATGAGGTGATGTTTCTGTTGCAGACAAGATGATTCTGCGTTCGTATCCTGTCTTTTTGTTCATCCACCTGAGACCTCCCGAAGCCAAGAGAGGAGCACCAGCGCACACTGTTCTTCTCGTTGCTTCGAAAAGCTCTGGCGTTTGGGGGATGGCTGTGATGGCTGGAACGTGGCTCGGACGCCGGCAGGTTGGATCTGACGACGAAGGCAGGCAGACTCGTGGCCTCGTCTGGTCGGGCTCCTTTGGGACATGGTTCCTCCCAGTGCCTAGCGACAGGCACGGTGAAGTTTCCGTCTATGACCGCTAGACGCCTGTCATGGTAATCTCATGATTGCCATGACCAGGATCGTCATCCTCAGAGAACCGATAGACTGATAGACCCTTCGGCGCCTAGAAGACTTCTGGACTTTTTCAACATTTCGGCCGAACTAGGCCGAGTGCAGCTGCATGGGGGGTGTCTACAACATGACGAATCCGTGCTCTTGCAAATGAACGAATCTTCTTTTGTTGAGAGTCATCTGTTGGTTTCCTCTACCTGGCGCAATACTTGCATTTGTCATCGTTTGTCTCGTTCTCAAGAGCATGGCTGGCTTCTCAACAAGGTTTCCAAGGGCTTTTCATTTGAGCCGCGCAGAAAAATACATCCACCTGCACACATGTTTCTGCACGGTTCTCTCTAGAGTTTTGCAGAGATTGCAAGCTGCACAAATTCTGCCAACGTCTGCCCACATGTTTTACACATGTTTTTCATCGTTTTTCCTTGTCCCGTTTCATCCGGTTTCATCAGGTTGCTCGAGCCACTCTCTTGGACCGTACCATTTGGGACTCGTTTTCGGAGACGAGCAGGCGATGACGGAGACCTCTTCAGCAATGTCCAGAGCCCTGGGGATTCCCGCCGTGCTCACGAAAAAAGACTTAAAGGAAGGTCCTTGTCCAATGAGAAGAAGTGTATTCTGTTCTGTTCTAGACTTCTAGGATGGCCAGGATGGCGGAGGTTGGTCCAAAGCTCGAAATTCGATGCTGAGGGGGAGAGGCTGGCTGGACAGACTGGTAGCGCTGAAGGTTTGTGATCACAGGATTGGAAAGCGTCCTTAGGATGTTTGATGTTAACCAACTGGGTAACCAACTGGGTAAAGCGCGCTGCGTTGGGTAACGAACTGGGTAACTTGATGTTTGGTGGACGGGCCAGGGAACGAGCCGGACAATCCCAACCCCAGAAGCAACACCCAAAGGACCTGTATAGGTCTTTTCAAAGGGACTCGTCCCTTTTTTTTCCTCTCTCTCTCTCCCTTTGTCTCTAAATCGACACAATACCAATGCCTGGGATGGCCTAGGTATGTGTCTTTGACTTGGGACACGGCCCCCCCTTTCAATCTTTTTCACACCATTTGGATCCATTTGGAGACACCTGCTCTTCATTTTGAAGACCCAATCGGCCTGGATTCCGTCCCTTGAAGGTCTGCAGCTGGTGCGGCGACGAGCGACTTCTGCCCTTCGATCTGGGCGAGGGCTTTGTCTGCCCGGGCACCCCAGTCGACGTGACGCCTTGAAGCTCAAATCCGCGTCAGGTATACTTGCGGGTTCATTCCGGGACTCCACGGCATCAGATGTGGTTGTTGGCTGGGTAACAAAGTGCAATCCTATACATTATCATGGATAGTCAGAGTGCAATCATGGGGTAGCTTTGCTTTGGCTTGGTGATATTGTTCTTGTGAAGCATGCCACAGCCGTGGATGTTGCTTCTATGGATTTATCCAGTGTGTGGCTACGCACTGCCTGGGCTTTGTGGTGCGCTTGCTGTTGAGAGCCCTTTCCATGGCCATCTTGGGGCCAAAGACTTTGTAAGGATGCTTCACGAGACGGCATCAGCAAAAGGGATCCCAGAGAATTGGCCTGATTCTCGGCTTGACGTCGCCAGTGCCAAGCTGCTCATTGACTTGGAGCCCGCATTCTTGCGTGGAAGGGTTGGGCTGTCCCGGAGGCGGTCCATTGCCATCATGCCAAGCAACGGTGCTCAATGTTGAGAGGTTGTAGGCAATGGACCGGTGCCCGCAAGACTTTGGCCAAGGGCCTTGGCCTTGCTACTGCTGGCTATCCTGTATGTTGTAGTGGGAATCAGGTTGGCGATGGGCCCAAGAGCACCTCGCTGTTGTTTCTGTACATTCGATTGGCCTGGTGCATGGCGACACAAAACCTGACAATATTATGCTGGGGGCGGGCTAGATTTATTTGATCGATTACAGTTCCGTTTCCAGGCCTGGTGATCATTGCCCCATGTCCTGTGTTCGACTCAGCCCACCGGACGACATACTCGTGGGATGTCTTTGCGGCTGGCCGGAAAGTGAAGGATTGAATCTGTGCGTTGTGGCAAACGCTTATGCGCTGAAATGTGCACGGACCTGGCCAAAGAGCGTCCGTGCTTGCAGCAATGTTTGTCAAGGTTGCTGTACTGTGAGTGCAATTTGTGATGCTTTGGAAAAGCAAATAAAGTGTCCGACTAAAATTCTATTTTTTGGTGGTCCATGCTTCGACTTCACTAGTCGTTGGGTGACACTTGGTGCCTGTTGCGCAGGGGACCCTGACGTGGCCGGATTCACGTTCCACTTACACCGGAACTAAGCCTCAAATTTTCGAACAACTACTGTAGATGGAGCTCGAACTTAGATTCGGCAACCGAAGCAAAACCTAACGCAGCTTGTCCACTTAGTCCAGTCTGAACTCCAAGTGCAGAGCTTTTCATGAGCAGTCTTCATGAATGTCCAGTTTCAAAGACGAAGTAGTCAGAGTGGAGGTCCAAGAGCGCATGCGGTCAAACTTTCTAAGTGAAGTGTTGAAACTGTGACAGGGTCCAAACTAGTCGACCTCCGCCGCATCATGGCGATCCGCGTGGCGTGTGTCACGCGTGTGGCGTGGCGACGGTGATGGGGTGGTCTTCAGTCACCTCAGGCGCTCGCTTGGTCGTCCATGGGGGTCGACTGGCAGGTCAAGATGTGGGGCTCGAGTGCGATGGGCTGGGATTGGAGGCGCGAAATGGTGGCAGGTGGTGGGTGGGCTTAGGTGAGTCCAGGTGGGTTTGACAGCTTCGACAGGTCTGGTAACCAACTGCACCTCGAGTGGCGAAGAAGTGGCGTTTGGGGAGGGCCGATCTGAGAGACCTTGAAATCAATAAATGGCGAAAACTATCAGACGCCCATGAACCCATCATCAACTATACTTGGATTGTTGGGGAATGGGATGCCACGGGTGTTAAAAAACCAAGATCTCACCACTTCACAAAAAAAATCCAAGATTGTAACTGAATGATGGCGACAAGCGAAAAACAACAATTGGAAAGTGAACACAGCTGTGAGTTATGACAGTTATGAGTGGTTATCACATGTTCCCTAGGGTTCCAAGTACCTGGTGAGAAGACGTGGGAAGAAGTTTGGGGTTGGTTCAGAGGGTCCAAGTACCTTCTGAGGAAGTACTTGGAGCCCTAGGGGTTATCATCTGTGGAGATAACAACGGTGAAACAATAGAATCCTGCGACAACACCTGCCCTGTGGGGAGGATGTGGATGGTCATCCCACCAAACGGGGCATGGGACCGTTTCCCTCCTGACTGGGAGTGAAGCATCCTGAGGTGCCGTGCGCATGTTTGTTTGGGGGGTGAAACATCCGGCGCCTATGTGTGTTTTAGACGACCTCTGTGGCAACATCCGGTGCCGAGATTCACCTCAGGTTGACCAACCCTGGGTCGGGAAACATGCAGTTTTGGGGGATGGCCAAGGAGGAACATGCGAAACGAATCGAACCATGATGAACCATGTATATCCATGTGTTATAGACATAGACCTCCAAGTAGATAGAAAAGTATATCCCCACTCCTAATGTATTGGAAACCGTTTCTATCTATATTGGGGCCACTAATGAATCTAAACTCTTGATTAATAAACCCTCCAAATAATGGGCAAATTTATTTCAAGAGTCTGCATTATATACTCAGACTTGGCCGTTGGCACAGTAAATCTGCTGCAGCAACGCCTCAGGGGGAGCACGAGCTCTTTGCAAACTTGTGCTGCAGCTGTGGCGCATGCAGCGCTGCCGTCACGTTCTTTCAATGCGAACGCGTGAGGTTGCCCTCCAGCTAACGCACATGGAGGTACCGTGTGGCCCCAGTAAAGGGACAAATTCTTCCACCGAAAACCAACCTCGTGGGTTTTTTTTCCATGCTTATTTTTCCATTGAAACCATGCAGCTCCGGTGCAAGTGACATAGCTGAAGCTCTGCTGCCAGGGGAGCTGCCCTTTGAGCTCGGGGAGGACTTCCTTTGCCCCGGAGCTGAAATGAAGACGAAGACGAAGACAGAAGTGAGTTTGGCTTCAGGACTTCGGTTTTGGCTTCAGGACTTTGGTTTGGGTCCGGTTTCGGTTTGGCGGCCAAGTGTGAAGCTGGCAGGACATATAACAGGATGACCATTTGTTGGCCTCAGTGGCCTGGGCTCCACACATTCTTTCCCATTAGAAACTCGACGGCCAGCATGAACACCAAAAAACTGACTGCAAGGGATGCAGGGTGTTACTGTACAAATCAAGGGACGAACTTTTCCTCACACGGCCTACCTTACACCCGAGCTGGACATGTCATGCATGAATAAAGCATGCTTAACATCACACGAGCTGGACATGACATGTGCTTGACAGCCGTCGAGCTTAAGCTGACATACTAGTAGCTGACAAAATCACATGCAACATACATAAGACGAATTCGACACCACAATAGCTTAACCTTGCGCGGGATCAACCTTAGCCTTAGACGGCTTGACTTTCACAAACTAGTCTTGGCATGTGCACAGGTTCACCTGGCAGGTGCATGACCAGGCTTTTGCATTGGCATCTTTCATGTGCACCGTGCACACATGTTTTTCTTGCACATGTATGTCGTTGCAAGAACAAAACACATCCAGTCCCGGCACGTCTAGTTTTAACCAATGATAAACACATGCATCAAGTGTAGGCAATCGTAGGCACCTGCATCTCTTGATGCATACACTCACATCTCACATCTCTTCGACACCTAGACAGGGGCAAACAAGAGGACGTCCTCCGGGAGGGCCCGAGAGGGAGCGAGCTCGGGGTGAAGCCCAAGTGACCAAGTGGAGCGAGCTTGGGGTTCACCTGTGCGTTGAAACGCGCGAGCGTTCTCAGGCGGAGACGTGGGCTTCGAGTGTGATGAGAAGCTCTATCAGAACGTCGCTCCGACAGAGCTGTGATGGTTTTACATGTTTCCAGATGATGGTCGGAACAGGTTGGAACATGTGTTTTTTCCTTTTTTTCCAGACTATTTCTTTTCTAATGTAGTGATGATCCATTGGATCTCACACAATTGTCATAGGGAATAGCAGGCTTGCCATGGTGACATGGGGTGGCATCAAGTGAAGCGGTTTGGACATATCACTTTCCTTTCTACTGCAAACGTTTGATAGAGCTTGTAATAGTAATAATAATATGTGTATTTTCTTGATCAAATGGAAGTGACACTGGTCACTTCGTTAAGAACGATGGATTCTGGTCGCACAGGTTTATTTGAGAAATTAGCGGGATTCGAGCGGTTAGGGGGCCGCCTGAAAGCAGTCTCTTCTAACGGTTTTCAGTTTTCTACACAGTTGTGGCGGTTTTTGCATGCGGCTGTGGCGAACAATTCTTGACCCCCAACATGGTGACTCCTCGCTGTGTGTGGTGCTTTTTCAGGACCCCCCAATTTTGTATCAGACCGAGTCCTGGCCTTCGAAGCCTGGGTGAACTCCGGGTGAGACCTCAATCTGCCAGACCCTCTGTGGGCGGTCCTCGACCACCCTCGACCTCCGAGGAATGCACCAACTGCGGCGCCGTCCGGCCGGGGCACTTAGTTCGACCGGACACTGAACGGGGTGGGACGGAACCGGCGGCGTAAGTGATGGATGGAACATGTGTGAGGCAATCCGTAGCCGTAGCAACAAAAAACATGTGCTCTTGAAATGGATGCGATGCAATGGTATTAGTGGGGATTTTAATACCATAGATGGTAATTACGGTATTTACATGAATTGAATTTTGGATATGCACTGATGGGTCTATATAGTATAAATGAATTGGATGGTTTAGGATGAGGATTCACCATAACCCATCGCAGATCGTTGCGCTTCTCCAGCGAACCAGTCGAAGCATGTCGAACCGGTCGAATGGCCTGGTTCAGAAGCTTTGCAGTAACCTGCAGCTGAGAAGAACAGAGGTGGCCAGCACTGCAGCACTCGTGGCCAGCACTTCAGCAGACCCGAACGGCAGTCCCACTCAGCCAACCAGGTGAGGTTGGTGTAATGCAACAGGCGCCCAACAGGGATCTCCTGTGACACCTATAGGCTATAGGTGTCTTTTTGTCCATCCATGAACCGGCGCTGGGGGCGAAGGTCTGAAGGCTTGAACATGCGATGAAAGCTTGTGACGATTTTATCATACACTTGGTGGAAGTTGAGATCACCAACTTCTCGATGATTATGGGGTTTTTCAACCCACATCCTTAGTCCAAGTCACGCCGTGCCATGGACTAAAGACAAATCCTGTACCACACTTATGGCTTGTTGATGTTCCTTTTTGTTCGAACGGCGAGAAAAACAACACACTGGGGAACTTCTTGGGACAGGGAACTGGGGACAGGGAACTGGGGACAGGGAACTTGGGACAGGGAACTGGGGACAGGGAACTGGGGGCAGGGAACTGGGGGGAGCAAACTGGGGACAGGGAACTTGGGACAGGGAACTGGGGACAGGGAACTGGGACAAGGACTTGGGACAGGGAACTGGGGGGAACTGGGGGCAGCAAACTGGGAACAGGGAACTTGGGAAGGGCTGTGCGGCTGCACTCTTCAGCTTTTGCACTTTTTTGCGTCTACCTGTTTGTCATCACATGTTCTTTACGATGCATCCATCGTGCGACGCGACGCCTGATCTCTGCGCATGCATGCGCTCTCGCCCCAGCGCCTGAGGATGTGTCCCTTCAGCTTACCAGACTTCCTCTGTGATCGCTGCGGCGGCACCGACGCGCCCAAGAGGCCCCACCGGGTCCTGTCCCGGGAATCGTTTCGCATGTCCGCACCGGCGAGGCTCACGAGGCTCGTTGTCCGGCCTTGGAACACACGTTCCGTGGCTTCGAAGCTTTGCAAAGGGATCAACGGAAACTGCCAATCAACTTCCGGCGCCGGTTTGGCTCTTGGCATTTTCCAGTCAAACAATGAACAGGATGCTCATCTACTCGGGGATGTTCTACTAGGTACCGTATTTTGCTTGTCACGGTGGCTTGAGGCCTTGAAAGATTTTCATCTATGGCCACTCTAGACTCCAGCATGAACCAAACTGATATCATTGGAGGTGAGGTTTGACGTAGTTGCGGGTTAGATCCGGCACAGGAAAGATCTTCAAGAAACCTCCACGGACCACAAAAAAGACATCAGTTTGTCGTGAGTGTCAGCCCGGACTTGCTTTGCAACATAAGGCAACAGTAGCAAGCCCAGGGGCCCCAAGGGGCCCCAAGGGGCCCATCAGCCATTCCTCCAAAAACCTCAGCACCTCTCTCTGCACCTCGTTTGCCAGGTTTGAGGAGCTTGCACTCCCCGAGGCTCACACCGATCCGTTCCGGGCGGCCTTCCGAACGGATCCGTCTCGACCGGTCCCGGGGATCCGACGCGAAGAAGGCGCTGTCTCCGTCCTGGACGTTGATGGACTTGGGGAGTTACGGCTGGTAGGGTGTCCAGTTCGGGGAGCTCTTCCAGTTGCCTCCCCCTTTGGAGCTGGACCCTCCTTTCTTTGGGTGAGGGATGGGTCAGGGAACTGAGGGGACCATCCATCAACACGTGTTCCATCGAAGCTGCCCACCAACGGCAGAAAGAAGACGCCAGCAAAACGGTGACGAGGCGGAAAGAGGATCCCCACACCTTTGGGGGGAGGGCCGTGCCGCGTTTCGGTGTTTTTTAGGCGGAAAACGGCCAAGAGACCGTGGCGGAAGAGATGAACACGAGTGGTATGGGGTGGCAGGATTTCTGGTTGCCCCCCTACAGAATGATGTTAACATAAATTAGCTGAAAGGTAGTGGTACCCGGTACACACTGTGAAGAAAAGAAGGATCGTTTGACGATTAGCCTGGCGGCCAGTAGGCCACGAAGTTGTCAAGCTATCACGATTAAAAGCATGTGAAGAGACCCCATCAACCACCATAACTTAGTTGCTTTTACGGAGATATTAGAATCCTCACCTCATGGGCTGACTTGGTCAGATGCTATCACAGAAGATGGATGAAGATCTATGTCCCCATACATGTCCCCTAATTCAGACACCAAATGGAGTGTGCGTGTTTCTTTACCTGTTGGGTCTTTTCCGGCTGATTTGACTCTCCCGTTTCGAACGGCTTTCACCCGCCGTTCGCTTCTTTCGCCTCTCAGGGCCCGGCGGAAGAAGAGCCGGATGATGGCCTCACCACCGAAGAGCGTGAGGTGGGGGGAGCGGTATAGTACTGGCAGCCTGGGGCGGAGCGCGGGCGGGACGGCCCCCAAAGGGGCCCTGAATGGGTGAGGTGGGAGACGGTGTATTGGGAGCAAGCGGATGAAGTGAGAGATTAATGGAGATTCCAAGCTCAATGAATATCAGTGAATGGGGTGAAACTGAGTGAGGAAATCTTGGGGTTTAATGAGACTCCTTGCTGAAGGAAGACATTTCTGCAACATCTGGGACAGATATCTACCACAGTATCTACCCTGCCTTTGGGTTTCAAATGATGCCACTCTGCCGCTCTGCGAAGGAGGCGCCAGGTTCTTTGATTGAAGCATGACGCAAGGCGCTCCCTAGAGATGACGACTGATTACGACGACTCGGAGTGACGACGGCCGTAGATCCATCACATCAGCCCGTCGATCACTACCCGCAGTCTGGGCCCAAGCAAGGGTCACTTTTCGAATGGCCTTGGAACATCTTCGCGGAACATGCCGACCCCTTTGCTCCGTGGTATTTAGCAGAAAACGCTTGCATGCCATCTTGGAGGCCCAGCTTTTTCCAACCCAAAACTTTTCCCCACCCAGGACCCACGCAGGACCCATCCAGGACCCACCGATTTCTGCAACCTCTCACCATGTCGGCCCTCTTGGCCTTGCCGCCCTTGTCGGACGACCGGACGGGCTTCCGCAAGCACGCCGCCCGGATCTGCGGAGGGACGGTGTCTGCGTGCGCGCGCACGCGATGATGGGTTCAGGTGGTGCTGTGGTGCGGTGGTGGTGGATCAGTGATGATCAGAGATCAGAGTGTGTCTAATCATCCTGGTTCCTTTTTGTTGACTCTTGATGAATCAAAGTGTCCCAGCGTATGAAGAGGCCCTATTAGAATCGGACGCTTTCTTTTTTGATAAGAGACTACATGAGTCATTCTTTGGTTTGGTTAGGTTTTCTCCGGATTTGATCCTCTTTGGAGAGGGGGCTGGCTCTCTATAGTCTTGCGATTCTTTTCTGTGGAAGAGGGGACTTTGGCATCTCAGGCTTTAAAAGCTCCTTTCTTTTGAGAAGGTATGTGGATCGACCAGCAGTGGAAAGAAGACACAGATGAAATCGATTGGGCCGATGGTTTTTGAATCTCAACATTTGACAGGCCCCATGTCACAACAGTCACAATCACATCTCCTCTCAGCGGATGCAGGTGCCAGAGAGACATGCAACACATTGATGCAAATTGCAGCATTGTTGGCCTCCAGATGGTCATACTGAGTCATACATCTGAGGGCATCCGGCATTGTTGGCCATCTGACATCTGAGGCTCAAAAGCTCCTAGACAAGCATTGCAAGGTGGACGTGGCCAGCGAATGGCAAGCTGTTGACGAGCCTTGGCACCCTCAAAACATGGGTGGGGCATCCGCAACATCCGCTATACTCCGCTATACTCCGCTCAGGCGCCTCGGAAATGCATCGGCAACATGTGCTTTTTGCACAGTGATTCTATGTCTCGGGGTGAGGCGATCCACCTTATAGGTATATCCCCAGGTGATTCGGTCGAAGGATCTGCCAGCTGGTGAGGAGTTCGCCCAGCTGGTCGAAAGGGGGAATTGGGCCCACAAAGGCGTTGGAACCCAGCTGGCTGGACGAATTTGTTCGGAGTCGGTTCTTGAGCTTGAAAGGCTTAAATCCATTCTCCCCAAGAATCATTAGACCCTCCGAACTGGAGGGTGACCTGCAGAACGCAGGGGTTTGGACCCGAACCAAACCTTCACCAAACTGAAGGTCCTTGATTCTTAGGGTCTAAGAATCTCCAAGATCGTTTCCGCTACTGGGTGTGCATGCGAACAGATGCGCCACCATGGCCCAGCAACGTCCACCACGCCTTTTGACCCAGAACCCAAGCAACATCCGAGTGAAGACTGCCTGGTGTACTCAGCCAGAAATCAGCCTGGAATCACACGGTCCTGGGTGCTGTTGACAGTCGAAAGGTGCGGTGCCTTTTAGGCTCCATCCATTGGAGGTGATCTGACGACTGCTAGTCGAATTTTCTGTGTTTTTCTTCTGAATGTGACCAGCTTTTCTTGGGACTTCCATCGGCACGCGTGAGACGCGGTGCTGACTCTTCCACATGGTTCACCCTCTTCGTTTTCACTTTGTCAAACCAAAAAGCTACGTCTGAGGAGGCCCCCTCTGAGCTTTTTTTCGGGGCCTCCTCTCAGCCTCCTCCTGTCCAAAGCCACTTCCACCCCTCCACGTCGCTTCGCCCGTCCACCGCAACGAGGATCAGAAGATCGCGCAGCTGAGCCTTGGATTGAGCAGAAAGACGACCGGGGATCCGCCGGAACGAGCGTGCTCGCCCGGCGCCTTCGGAAGCCAGGTTCCAGACCGGAGGGTCCTTTCGGAGGTCCTTCGGGTTTTGGCAGAGGTTGTTGGGCAGAGGTTCTTGTTTGTTTTTGTTTGGCCCTGACAGGGGATACTGTAAGGACTTTCTGAGATTGCGAGGTTTGTGCAGAAGGAGATCTTTCAGCAGTATGTGATCATCATGGGACGATGACAAAGACTTGTCGGACATCGTGTGCGGATCTACCCAACGTATGTGAGTGTTTTTGTTGCTTTTTTGGACTTCTCCAGACTCATCGGTCTGTAGGTCTGTAGGTTGCCGGGTTCGTCGTTTCGGCCCCACCGGGAACGATCTCGGAAAACACCGGCACCTGATGAATCACCGGTTTAGCCACGTGTTTTCTGAGTGTAGCACATGTGATGAACGCCAACATGGTATAGTCAGCACGTAAAGTGAATGACAATGGGTGGTATGATGGGCACCAACATCATAGGCAATGCACCATGTGATAGTCAGCACTTCGTATGCGGAATGGTGGAATGATATGGAATGGATCCCAAAAGGAGCCTCCTAAGTTGGGACCCATTCCCTCATTCCCGTATCTGTGAGTCGGTCAATCATCGGGTGCTCATAGCCACGTGCGCGTTTGTGCGCCCTTGCGTGGCGAAACGGGCGGCTGAGGCGAGGCATCTTGAAAGGACTCCAGGAGGAGAATCAATCCACACAACTCCTCAAAGTGGAAAGCGAGGAGACTTCATGGCATGGGAAGGGAGGTGAACACCCCGGTTTTCACTGCGATGGAACGGGAAGACAGACTACGATGGCATGCGCGTGGAACCACGTGCTTGTTCTTTTTTCTCCAAACAGTGCGGTCACACTAGGTTTGTCCAAAGATGGTTGGAAAGGAGATCTTGTTTCGGGTGCTTCCGGCCTGGTCTTGCGGTTGCGAAGACCGGGGGAAGTCTCTCTTGTTTTCGTCCAGGACCGTGAGGCACAGCTGGCCCTTCAGTCCACGCGGAAGTCCGTCGAGACGCGACTGGCCTTTTGCAAGGCGGACGGCGTCACGACGCGGCGGCGAACGACGCGGCGAACGAGCGCGGGCTAGCGATCTCTGGTGCGCTCGGCGCGCGCGTTTGGGGAACAGGAGTGGTTTCATCTTTTAGCTCTGGCTTTGCAGAAAAATATATACTACGTGTTTTGGGGCACGTTCTTCTCTCCAAGACGGTAGAACACCAAGTTGATTAGATGAAGTAAGTGGTTGGCGTTCTCAACCCGTCTGAAAACCACGTTTATTCTCTCCGTGGTTTTACTTGTCAATAAAAACATTTTAGTTGAACAGTTGAACTGGATACTTTGATTGGAAACCGATATGTTCTTCTGTGGCTCCACCCCCGTGGCTTCACCCCACCGCCCCACCGCCCTCTCGCCCTCTCGGAGCCTCTTCAGGAGAAGGAGACTGTCTTCAAAAGGCGGCAAGAAGAGCTCCGGAAGCACGTCCTGGAAAATCAGCTTCTCGGCGGCCAACGGGGCGGGGCGGGGCGGGGCGGACCTTCCGGGCCTGTCGTTCGGGGACCCGGAGCTTCCTGGCATAGAGCTGCACACCGGACGGTCCGGACCCTAGGGCCCTAGGGATCCATGTACCTTCTCAGGTACGTGTGGGCCCTCCAAGTATAGTCTCCAATCACCTAACCTGGGAAGGTACGACTGGATCCCTATGACATATATGATTTTTTGATTTTGAAGAACAAGTTCAGTTGAGCCACCTCAAACAACGGCAGCACAACGCCGCTTTTAGGTAATCCCAGATGTTTTTCAAAAAAGACTTGAGTCACTGGATCCGTAGAGAGAGAGAGCGAGAGAGAAAAGAACACCTCCAAATGATAGTGGATCGTCAACTGTTGGCACACAGGGTCACAACAGACTAGTTGACACTCTATTTTCATCTATGTTCGATGCGAATGACATCTAGGGTCTGAGCCCTGCATCGTGATTGACTATAAACCCAAAGGTTTCTTGACAGTGTTCAGTTGCTTTTGGTTTTGCTTTGACCTCCGAATTCTTTGGATAGAGCTTCTGGCAGGCAGAATGGATGAGGCAGCGTGTGCATCGAAGTAGATGGAATCCCACAACTCCAGTGGATAAAGAAGGTGAATGAACTACCAAGAAACATGTTTTTGGACAAATGATGACTCCACTTAGGCTCCCTCAAACAATTATGGGCGTGGAAAATAGGTCCCTCTGGCCCTGGAAGATCATCTTTCTCTAGAAACAGGTGGTTTTCCACGTTCATGTCGATTTTCTGGTTTCCTCTCCTCATTCCGCTCTCATGTTCCTATCATCCTCCTATCATCGCTTCAAGACCGCTTCGACGGTCTGGTCTGTTTTCTCATCTCGCGTCTTCTCCCAGGAAATCCTTGCAAGACCTTGAAGCACAGATCGAAAAGAGCTCCTTGGCGCACCGAGCCGGTTCCTCGTGGCGCACCGAGCCAAGCCGAGCCTCACCGGTTCGGTCTCATCCACCGAGCTGGTGCGGCGTGGGGTTTACCCTCTTGAGGCGGCTGGTGGAGCAGGCAAGTCGTAGATCTCCTGACCCTCAGTTCCAAGAATCAGCAGGTCCCATCATGTCCCCCCATGTTCCGTTCAGCGTTTTTCATCTTCCCCCGGATCTCAAAAACACACCCACTCTTCCTTCGGCGGATTCGCGCAGCCGCGCCGCGTCCGCGATAGCAGCGCAGCCTGAGAAGTCCGCGATGCCGCCTGCGGACGAGGTTTCTTTGGTTCCGCCGAGTCACTTGATCTTTGTCCCATTCGGTTCCGCTCGGGGGTGACATGTCACCGGCGGAAAATGAGGCCCTCGAGGTGTCCGAAGTGGGCGTCGACTTTTCCTTGCTTTCTTTGTAGGGGTGTGAACAAGTGGGCCAAATATCTCCTGTCAGTAGGGACAAGTGGGGTGAATATCTCCTGGTTACTGTCAGTAGGGACAAACAATTAAAAAACTGCTGCGATGCTTTTCTCCACTCTTTGTGCTGGCGACATCCTTCGTCGACCTCCGCCTCTTTACACCACCGTAGACCCCAAACAGGTGGGACAACAAAGAAGCATTCCCAAGTCCATTTTTCGAGACATGGGAGACAAGAAGGAAGACAAGGCGGACACAATGACCATCACAAAGGGAGGCAGAAGAGACAAGGTGGACACTATGACCAACAAGAAGGGGGACAAGACGGGAGACAAGACGGACACAGTGACTAACAAGAAGGGAGACAAGACGGGAGACAAGAAGGGAGGCAAAGGAAAACAGAAAGGAGAGAAGACGGACGCAGTGACCAACAAGAAGGGAGACAAGACCAGAGACAAAGGGAGACCGGACACTGTGACCAACAAACGGGAGACAAGACCGGAGACAAAGGGAGACAGAAGGTGCCGACTTAGGAGCATAGTGGAAAGGACATGCAGGAAAGGGAAAGGAACAGGAAAGCGCTGTATGAACGCGTTTGAACAAAATCAATAAAATCACCCAGAGAGCGAGCCACCAATGGTGGTGCCACTGCAGAGGCAAAGCGCGACATGAGCTGGAGAGGATTCGAGAACTTCTTCTCAGAACTAGAGCCTGGTTTCACGGCCATCAACTTAGCATTTTGCTTGGAAATGAGGTTGTCTTTGGATCTGTGTTTTTGGACTCGCAGCCACCTCTTCCAGTTCTCTCCCTCTCTCTCTCTCTCTTCTATGTATATCTGTTGTGCGACGCACCATGACGGAAGGGATATATATTTAGATCCTTTTAATCCTAGCGACAGCCACTTGGAGCGCCTGCAGCGCATCGAACTTGCTGGACTCCTGCCTGCATCAGGAGGGAGATGCTCAGTAGCTTTGGTCGGAAGGGGCCGGCGTCTTAAATATCAGGAATGAAAACTTCAAAAACCGCCAAAGGATGATAACAAGTCCCTGGGTTGCGCATGGACCGCGATGTCGATAATGCAATCTCCCCCGGCCGGCATAACCGGCATCGCCTTCATGTAGTCCAAAAACATATCCATTTTTCCATCGTCAAAAAACACTACAAAACACAGCATTTTCTGAACAAACACGGGGCCCGCCCCCTCTAGCTAAAGCTTATATGTGATTTAATTCAGCAGATTTCTTCCGATTGCTGTTGACGCGAGCCACAACGGCATCCCCCAAAAAGAATTCTGTTGATGATCGCATGCAAATATTGACTTGGGTGACACGGTCTGCTTGCGACCGTTTTGTGGAGCTTATATGTAGAACCTTTGGAAAGGAGCCAATATGATTTTTACTGACCAAAGTATTGAAATTGGGGCATCAATGTAGTCTTTCTGCATGGCAGTCACTGTGTCCACAGTGTCCGGCTTGTTTCCCTTTCTGTTTCCCTTTGTCTCCCTTCTTGTCTCCGGTCTTGTCTCCCTTCTTGTTGGTCAGTCTCCTGTCTCCCTTCTTGTTGGTCATTGTGTCCGCCTTGTCTTTCTTGTGTCTTCCTTTGTCTCCGGTCTTGTCTCCCCTCTTGTTGGTCACTGTGTCCGTTTTGTTTCCATTCTGTTTTCCATTGTCTCCCTTCTTGTTTCCCTTCTTGTTGGTCACTGTGTCCGCGCCTTGTCTTTGTTCTGTTTCGTTTTGTCCTTGTCTCCCTTGTTGTTGGTCATAGTGTCCGCCTTGTCTCCCTTCTGTCTCCCTTTGTCTCCGGTCTTGTCTCCCTTCGTGTTGGTCACTGTGTCCGTCTTGTCTCCTTTCTGTTCCTTGTTGTCCCCCTTGTGCCGCAGTTGCCTCCAACATAGTGAAAAGTATGTGTTTGTGTGCAAACAGCTACAGCTATGTCCATACCAAAGCAGCCGTTGGGCATTGCATCAAATGCAAAGTGTTGTTTGCCAAACTTTGAAAACAGGACACACTGGTGGAGATGGATTTTGGAAAGTGTCCAACTCCGGCCAAGCCTCATCATCTGGCGAAGGCAGTCTGACAGTCTTATGTCAAGAGAAGGGTGAGGGCAGTTGCATCTTCTTTTGCAAGGAAATACGTTACATTTGTGCGGGTCAAACGGGGTCAAGGGTCAAGGGCCAAATACAGTAAAGGTGCAGATTCTTGAAAAGACCTGTGATGGTAGACTTTCGTGGGTCAAAGCAACCTACCCAGGTAGTCTCGCACTCCAGGTTTTGACTCACAGCCATTTGGGTGGTGGATACTCCTGATCAAAATTTGTCAGCCTTGGGATCTCAGCCTTGGCGCATCTGGCGTCATAGTTGCATGTTTTGCAGCAAGATTCTGTGTTCAAGGACCGCCGGATCGAGACCATGTCACTGGTTCGCTGGCTATGTCTTGTCTTGAAGGCACCTCATCTTCCCCCATTGTCCCTGTTTGCCAGGCCTACGCGGCGCGGGCGGAAACGCGATTTGGCCAGACGATCAAGCTTTTTTTTGAGGGGAAACATTCCCTTGGGGCAAGAGGTTTTTGACCTCACCACATGAGATGTAACAGGTTGAAACTTGGTGGTTGACTTTTTGCTCAACGGAAATGAACAAAGCAATTGGGACCCATGAAATACGTGTCTCCTTGTTGTGCAGCAAAGCCTTGGACACGACCGTGCAAACGCGGGTCCACGGACAGGGTCGCGGGTCCTTCGGTCGTTCGTCTGTTCATCGGCCTGTGAGCTCAAGGATTTGGATCACAATCCTGCCATGCAAAAGAGGCATCGTTCACTGTTCACATGCCTTGTGCACACGAGGAGGAGTAGACATCAAAAAGAGAGACAAAAGGAGGTAGAAGGGAGACAAGGCGGACACATGACCAAGAAGGGAGACAAGACCGGAGACAAAGACACAATGACCAACAAGAAGGGAGACAAGAGGAGACAGAAGGGAGACAAGCCGGACACAGTGACCAACACAAGACCGGAGACAAAGGGAGACAGAAGGGAGACAAGCCGGACGCAATGACCAGTAAGAACGGAGACAAGAAGGGAGACAAGGGAGACAAGCCGGACGGAAGGCGGACACGCTGTCCCACAAGGCGGACGCTCATAGAAAGCATTGAGAACCCCGAGCGGTAACCTGTTTGGGGAAAAAGCGTTTTTCCCTCCTCTAAGGTGAGAAGAAGACCTTGGAGGAGCAGTCGCAGGGCCGCAAGTTGGACGTGGAGATTGAGAGGTTGGAGAAGGAACTAAAGCAGAAGGAGCGGATTTTCTTTCGGGCCCTGGTCGCCACGGAACCGGTGGGCCAAAAGGGGGGGCTTTGCCGTGGGTGTGATGGGCGTGATGTGAAACATCGGCCGCTGGCGATGTTTGACTTAATGGGAGTGTCCTGGATTTCATGTTTGCTTTAGATGCGTGCCGACTCAAGAACTGTCTACTTTCCTCAAGTCTTAGATTCTAGAGATGATAAGAGCCTGTTTGTCTGCATCAGAAAGACATGATTCCACTCAAGGGCCCATGGTCAATCTGGGCCTGGTGGTCGTAAACTCATCGGGTCTGTTTTTGGAGGGAATACCTTGGCTCAGATGAGCAGCCAACTGTAGCTGCGCTTTCTTTGATTCCTTCCTTCCTTCTTGTTTTTTTTTTCCTCTCTCTCTCTCTTGAAAGGTGACATCTTTCCTGTTCCAACAACTCCTTATTCACCGACTTGAAGTCGACTCTGCCAGCTTTGGAGACTCCGCACCTCACAAGACCGTGTGATGGTGCCAAGACCGGGCGTTCTTCGATGATGTCCGATGCGCTTCTTCGCTTGGGCACGAATGCCCAAATGGTCCTTCCTATACCCGGTGTCCCAAACCTCTAACCCGTGCGTTTGAAGTTGATCTCGTGGAAGGGGAGAAGGAACGTGTCACGTGTTGTGCTCTTCGTGTCGGCTCATCGAAAGAATTTTGAGCGTCGGTGGACGTCGTCGCTGCGTCGGTGGACCACATTCAGGAGGAGACGAGAGATATGGAGCAGGGGAAGATTGCCAAGATGGCGCCATGGCAGAGAATGGCATGCGGCGGTGTGGGGCGGTTTTTGGGGGCAAAAATCTACTATTGCCAGATGTTTCTGTTCGTGGTCTTCATGTCTATTGACCCTGAATCACAATCCCCTCGAAAGATGCACGGGACATTGTGAAGTGATCTATTTGTGGTGCGTTTCTTCTTTGTCCCTAAAAGGGAAGGCTATTCCACCCCAAACCGGCGGTCTTTTGAATGCCAGGATTTAGCTGGGGGTTCACTGGGCCAACAAGAACAGGACCTTCTTGATCATAACATCAGGTATCCTAGGTCCTTCGTCAGAGAAGGTTTGCATGTTTGGACGATCAAACACAGGCGTTCGAAAGCGGAAACCGAACTGCCGAATTCGGCGGTGGAGTCATTCCAAGCACGTTCGTTCCTGGAAGTGCACGTGCTGAGGCAAGATACAAGGACCTGGCACCAGTCGGGCTTGGGTTAGGCTCCCAAAAGACTTCCTGCAACTGAGCTGCCTGGACTTGACATCAGTGTTGGTGTTGATAGGTTCATGTTGGGGTCAACCAGGATGTTAGGCCTCCCTCCAACAAACACGGAAGTGGACAAAGCCCCTGGTTTCTAGAGGGAACATCGTCTTCGCAGGGGCCATCCAGGTAACCATGGTTAGTTTCAAGGAGTGGCCCCAGTTAGCTGTTTTGGTGACGATCACGAAGGGATCGATTTTTTCTCTGAGAGGCTTAAAGTTTAACCATTGTATTTTGCATGGTTTGCTGAACCGAGATTCTTCTGATATAGTATTAGGTCGCCAAAGTCTAGAAATCCTGATTTGTCAGCCTCGCTTTTACCAGCAGAATCAGATCTGCTTGCCCTCCCGAAAACACCTGCCTGCCTGAGAGATCAAATCGATCGGATCCGATGTCCTCCGGGAGGATTTCCTGGAGCACGTGATCCAAGATAGCCAAGACCAAGAGTTCGGCGACGACATCGAAGTGCCTCGACTTCGACCTTCGCCGACCTGTGGACCGGTCGAGAGACCGGACGACCGGGTCATCCATGGAGGACTTGGGAGTTCCTTGGTGGATGGATGGAGGATGGACTAATGGTAGTGTAGACTCTTTGATTCATTTAGAAAAAGGCACGCCGTATGGATTGTAAAAGCTCTTCCTAGAGGGTTTTATTGCTGAAATGATGATGAAATAGATTATATATCATACCTGGAACTTCCACGGGTGTGTTTTTTCTGTCGTCTGGCAGAACAACATAAATTTCAGTCGTTTGCCGTCAAAAGCGCCGTTTCATTTCAAAAGTGCCGTTTCGATGTGTTACAGAGGTTGCCAAAATTGCGGTCAGCAAAAGTCGCCGTTTGGTCGGGAAAAGTTGCCGTTTCAAAAACTTGGCTTATTAGCATATATATAGAAAACGTTTTCGCCCTATCTAGGTCACTAAATCAAACCAGGTCCCTACTCGACAACAGTGCTGTTGGCAGTTGGGCAGTTTTGTTTTGCTGCCGCATCCAGCTGCAGCTGTGGTGGCTCGCCATACCTGACAGCATGAAGCGCCAGTGTTGGCGATGGATCTACCGAAGGTATGGAAACCAGTCAGTGTCTTAGGGCCCAGGAAGACTTGTTTTCATTTTCCGTTCCTGGGTGATTGCGGCCGAGGATTGAACATCTGAAAATCCGCCTTCATCCCAGTCTTACATGTGGAGTTTCCCATTATATAGATCACCGATGGGCCCAGGTGAAGCAGAACTTTCTGCCATCCCCGATGCTACCGAAAGCGTCCAGTTCCTTGAAAGCCAAATCAAGATCGCGCTCGGGAGGCTTCTGAAAGACGAGGAGCCAACCCTTCATTCATTGTGGCATTTGGGTCTTGGAGTGTTTTGCATGAAACAATCCGCAGGCAAAAGAGCTGGAGGGAATGGTTCTTGCGGAACTTGCCTGGAAAAAAATAGATAAGGCAAGGAAAAGCATGGAGTGTGAAAGTGAAAATACCGAGCCACCAAAAAAGAGACTTCGTAGAATGAATGCCAAGTATTTTGACGACTGCTAGCTATAATTCGTTCATGAAAAGCATGACCATGTCATTGAGCTCCCTTTGACCGCTCTTTTGTGTGGTGGGGGCACAGTCACAGGCCCATAATTCAACTGGCAAACTAGCATGCCGTTGTGGTCTCCCAAAAGGCCGAACTGCGAGCTCTTGTTTGTCGCTGTGTGTTTTGATGGTGTGGAATAAGTTTTTCGTTGTCATTGAGGATGTGAAAGGTTTTGGGTTCAATAGGTTCAATAGCTAGAGCCGGGACTTGGAGAGCAGCCCTCCATGCCACCGCACTCCTTGCCCCCCATCGCGGCCCTGAGTGACAGTGAGCCCACGCCTCAGACATGACCGCTCTGTCTCAAAGCATTGGTGCCACACAGCCTCACAGGTCAGAATGGAGCTTTGTTTCCCGAACAGCGCCATCAGCCACTATCCCAGGGTCTTGATTGTGGCCAATGCTTGCCCATTGTAACGGCTATCCGTTGAGTCGAGGTGCAAAATAGCTTTTCAGGAGCAAAAACAGTTCGAAGGACCATCAAAAAAGACTCCCAGGCCGGTCTGTTTGTTTTGGGCCAGATCTTAGCATTTAACGGTCGGTCTTGCCTTGAAGGAGAAGCTTCCACTCTTTGCAGCCCTTGGCCGGCTGAACAAGAAGGGTCCTTTTCATTTGGTAGAGATGAAGGTTGGGCAAAACCCGGGGTACAATGTTACAAGACTGAATTGTTGGGAGGTCAAACCGCCAACAACCCAAAAATTGACGCTTGTGGTAGTCTGAGGCTCAGACTACAAAGAAGTTCAACCTTTTAGTATTTTGTATCTCCATCTCAGGTCTCCGAGAACAACAAGTCATCGAAGACTGCCAGGGCAGGAATGAAATCGGGAGTTTTCTTTGGACGGAAAACCTTCAAAGCCTGGCCAGCTCTGCGCCAGTTACTGAGAGACTTGTTTTGGATGGGCCACCAACTGATTTCTTTGAAATGACTGTAGGTTGCCTTGGGGCGTGCCTGCGCGTTACTGCAAATGCCGTGACCAATCGTGGCATCAGCGCCCTATACTTAGACTTGAGAAGATTTTGTGGGGTGGTGCACACAGCTGCTCGTACTCCAAGGATCTCGCCAATGTGGTGAGGTTCTCCCAGGACTATACAGACAGCTTGGGTTCCAAAAAGCCTGGAACCTTTCTTTCAGCTGAAGTATGTGAATGGTTCTCGGGTTGGGGCCTCATCAACATCAAAGTGGACCGGAGGAAAGAACGTGCTTGAGTGAGGCCTTCCAAAAGGATGGACTTCACCGAAGCAATCTGCCGTGAATCCAGAACACTTCAAGTTGGCATTCCCCAATATCCACCAGAAGGCGTGGATGTGATGCACAACCCATTTGTGGGTGGAGTTGAAGTTTTTGTAGGAGAATAAGTGGCCCATGGTGTCGACCTTCACCGGAGTCGGAGGATTAGACCTTGGACTCAGTGAGTGTGGATCCAAGCTTCATCTCACCACTGTCCACACCCAAACAAGGATTCAGCCTTGCCTTGACTCAGGATCATGTTTCCGACATTGATGGCCATGGCCTTGGAGCTAACTGCTTGCGTCTCTCATGTTCTCTCTCTCTCTCTCTCTGTTCTACTAACCCTCTTCTAGCACAAATGTTTGAGGTGGAGAATCATCCATTTTGCCGACGTGTGTTGGCTGCCCGACAAGCGGACAAGCTCTTGCCAAAGGTTGAGATCCATGAAAATGTGGAAACTCTGACTGGGCGCAAGGCTCGTGCATCAGGTGCCAAAGGCCTTGGAGGAGGCTTCCCTTGCCAGGCCTGTCGCAGATTGTAAAACGTTTTCCAAACTTCGCAGCTCGGAGCTGGACAATCTAGTTGGGGGAGCAGCGAGAGGACCATGGAGTAGGGATCAAAAGGATTCAAAAGGTGTGACAAACATGTTGTGTTGATACTCTTCACCTGTTTGTCCTTCTCTATGTTTTTGAGCAGCCCGACAGAATGAGCCCTTAGAGTCAAGACCCGAGCTGTTCTTTCGAACCCTGCACAGCTACTGTCCTCCATCGCGCCAGGGGGTGAGTGGAGCCGGCAAAGGCCTCGGCTTGTTGGACCACAGATCGAGCCTCGTGCGTCACATATTTCGAGTGGCCTCAGAGATGGGGCCTGATGCGCACCAGTCTTAGGATGTGTCAGCACTTATGCACGTTTAGTCTTTCTACATTTTTCTCTACCAAAGTCCGACACCTGTCGTGCGAGGAAGTTCGTTTTCATGGAGAATGTAAAAGGTCTCCTCGCCGTGGATCAACGAGCACTCTTGTGGTTTATCATGCAGGAGCATAGTCAAACTGGCCAGCTAGTAGTTATGTTCAAACAGTAGTCCTATTTTCTGGGCCTTAGGTCAGGAAGAGGGGAATGGCAGGCATAAGTATCAACATGAATGATTCACCATGACTCAACTGCGTGATGTTGGATGATGTTGGATGCGAAAGGATAAGTGAGCAACAGCAACAGTTCAATACTTATGATGATGATGACAAGCTTATAACTGAAACTACAGCACTCATGAAGCACCAACATTTGACGCAGGAGTGTCTTGATCTCGGATTTCAGATCAAGTGGGCCACCCTGCAGCTTCGCCACGTGGGACTTGCAGCTTGCCTGGCATGTGTTTAACCAACCACTGAATGTGCACAGTACACCTGCAAGCGCGCACCAACACAACTGTGGGGATGAAGTTTCAACTTAAGACCTTAGCGGATCATGGAAATGTGTAATCTCCTTCTGCAATTTCATTGTGCTTGATTGTTTTGGGAACGCTAAAAAACACTTTGTTCGGCCAGGCAGGGCGGGACCGAGTCTTCATCTTTGCTCATCGCCCAAATTTCCAGCTGTTCAAGGTGCTAAGCTCAAGAATCTCTTGCGGGCTATGGGGCATGCATGGAGCTTTCAGTTCACCTGTCACGCCAGGCGTTGGAGCTGAAGCCGCTTTCAAGCCTACTACCTCCGGAGTGGAACCCCTTGGCGAAGAAGCCACTTCGGGACTGGTTGTTGCCTTCCCCCGAACATGAAGATGAATGGGAGGAACGGGTGCATGCATGTGGAAATGTGGTGGTGCCTTCACAGGCAGCCGCCGCTCTACAGTTTGTTTCCAGGTTGCCTGCGCTGCAGTGAGGTTACTATTGAATAGATAGGCCATAGTCGTAACATGTTGTAGCTTCGTTACTGTTTGTCAACCAAATGGTCAGCATAACACATAACAGTACGTTTTCAGTCTGTTAGTAAGACCGCAGCTCAGAGAAATTCGATCCAGCATTTAATTCACGTCCGTTGAACATTCAGTGGCAAGCGGCTTCCCCTTGCTGCCGTGCGCGCATGACTTGGTCTGAGTCTCAGAGCTCTGTTCTGGAGGTCACACCCTAATGATCCCTAAGGTTAAGACTGGCAAACCATATTGAGTTTAAGTGCTCAAAAACCTCCCCAAATTTCGGACACCCTCGTTCTCAGTTGCTCTTGAAACGTCTTCTTTAGATTTAGATTATGTTCAGTTCATATCGCTCTATCGGGTTCAAACTTTAGTCATGGCACGTCATGGCGAGTTTGCCCCCCATCACGGAGCTCACCTCTTCCGAAGATGAAGTTGCGGCTCCCGTGCAGCCTGTCAAGAAGGCAAAGGCATGCGGCCGGCAACTGCCTACCAAGAAGGATCTAGATGTGCGGAGCCTCATGAACCAAGTCTGCCAGTGCTCCAGGGTGAAGAGAAGACCCAAGGAGACTTGCTTTGTGAAGTTCAAGAATATGATCGAGGAGCTTCAAACCCACAGAACCCTGTTTCGCAACCTGCACAAACTAGATCAAGACCAAGTTGCACCTAGGGAGTGTTATTTAATAAATTGTTGGCTTTGTTTCTTTCTGAAACGTTCTGACTCACTTGGCCACCTCACTCCATCGCCTCAAAAGAACCCCCC